TCTCTCTCCTTCTCTCTGCTCTCTTCTCTCTCTCTCTGTCTTTCTCTCTCTGTCTCTCTCTCTGTTGCTCTCTCTCTCTCTCTCTCTCTCTCTCTCTCTCTCTCTCTCTCTCTATCTATCTCTCTCTCTGTCTTTAAATCGTTTGTCTGTACGCCTCTCACTCTTACTTTCAAACAAACATGTTGGCAGATACACTAGCACCCGTTCATACTCTAATTCACAAAGTATACACAAACGATCTTAGCACTTGATTTTTCGCCATCTATAATTACAACATGTCAACAAGATTTCTGCATTTAGCACAACAAGAATGATAAGCACAGGTATTTCAGGGGCAATAAAGAAGCATTCATAAAGTTTGTCTTCTTACACTTATGCAACGACAGTGACAGCAAATATTATGACATTGACGTGGACTCGTGAAGCTGAAACTAAACCGATTCTATCAATGGACTATCAATTTTGGGACTTACGTTTGTGTGGGTTGAGGGAGAGAGGGAAAAAAAGGGAGCTAGTGGAAGGCTTTCCTTTGGGGGGGGGAGGGGTGGGGGGGAGAAGAGACACTTTTTAGGTGGTTTTATGTCTTGGTTAGTGATGGTGGAGGGGTTGAAGGAGAGAGGGTTGAAATTAAGGATTTGCAAGTTTCGAATCGAATTATGATTTCTGGCAAGAACAAATTAAGTGTCTTTAAGATAAAAAAAACACTCTTAAGACCAAAAGTAAAATCACCACTGGAAATAATACTGTATTGTATACGTTCAAGTATCATTGTACATATTCACATATATCATCAGGTTCTTGAAGAGAGTAGGTATTTACTTCAAACACAACAAAAATTCTTTAGGGACATAAAAATGAAAGCACTTACACATGCATGCACCAATACAAAAAATAACTATAGACAAAAACTGCTTTTCAGTGATGTATTTTATGGACAATACATGTAAGACAAATGCGTTCAAATAATGAAATATGGCTCAAAATACCTCCTTTAGCACACACACTTTCATTATGTACCATGTGCAGGGTTATTTACAATATTTACGATGCTCCTACTGACTCTAGCACTTTCTTCTGCAATGACTGAACATATGATTGTATCCAAGTGTTCAGGTGTGTCGGAATTCATGAAACAAGCATACAGACACGCACGACAGACACTCACACATATACGTAAACGTGCGCGCTCATAAGAGCACAAACACACAATGTCCCACCCTTTCCATGTTGTCTGTCTTCCTGTCTGTCTGTCTGTCTGTCTGTCTGTCTGTCTGTCTGTCTGTCTGTCTGTCTG